CTATGTTAAAAATAATAAATAATAACAAGAAATGAGACAGTAAACTAAGAAGTGTATAAAATTACATATGAAAGCATATTATACTAAAAGATTTTTTGGTGTTGAGGAATACTTCAGGTAGAGTTTTGTCCTTTATAATAGGTGAGATAATGATTATGATGTAGAGATAATGATTCTGATGTCATTAAAAATCCTAAGTTGATTTCTACTTTTTTCAACAAGACAGAATGATGTATGCTTTTTTTTTTTTTTTATGGTACTGGGGTACGCTATATTTTACACCTATGAAAGCTATTAGCCTCTTTTAAAAAATGATCATTAAAGTCATAAACTTTAGCTACGTAGGAAATTAGTTTATGTTATATATAGTTTTCCAATTGTAATAGAAAAATATCGTTACAGCATTTCTATAGGTCTATAGAGGTCTAATTAATTTTTAAAGTAATTTTATAGTTTTATCATGGTTTTATTTTTTGACAAAATTGGTACAATTTTATTTAAATTCTAAAATAGGCAATCAAGAGGCAACTGTTTACTTTGAGTGTTTCTTAAGAAATGCTATGTTAAAATAATGTGATTGTGTTGAATAGCCAATAATTATTTTGAACATTTTCCTTTTTTGTGTTACAAATCATTTGAATCTTCTTTTTTATTTCACAGGCCTCAGAAGTTCAGGAGAAGGACAAGTATAGCTATAATAAAACTTAAAACCTATACAAGAGATTTTTGAGATGACAACAGTTATTTGTAGATTTTAGACTATGTTCCATGCTGCTAGACTGAGAACAACATGTTTGCCCTAAAATCTTTTCCAAGCTTACAATATGGTCTCTAGTTTCAAATGATGACAAAGACAGACTGGTAATCAGAAAGCAGGAATTCAGTTTTGAAAAAATCATTAAAGATTCTTTTAAAGTCTGATATAACACTATTTCTTTAAGTATACTAACTGCATATCCCCATGGATTTCTTTTTTGATTACTCTATTTACTCTTTCACTCTTCAAATTTGATTTGAATTATATTTACATAAATACATTTTTATATATATTTAGATCCCCAGACCATAGCTTACTATGAACAAGCTGCTGAGATTTGTATGGAAGTAACATGGCTCAATCTAATGCAAAAAGACTTCAAAGTTTTGAGTGAATTTGCATAGAGACATAAATTATCTAGGATATTCAAAGCCATAAATTAGCTGCAGGACATATATAGCTCTCTTGTGGCTCACAGAAGCACAACAGTTCTCTTTATTTCACATTTATCTGCTATCACGTTTTCTCCAAGAATCTCCATGCGCGCTCCTTTTTTGCCTGCCCTGTGTTTTTACTTCTATGTTCAGAAAGTGCTTACGGGTCGCAGTTGCATTTGCAAAGGTAAAAGTATCTGGCTGCCTCAATGAATATTAACTTTGGTTCTTCCCTCCCTCTGCCTCAAGCACACACAGAGGTCAGTAGCCACCAACTACAGGCACTACCTGAGCTAAAGGTAGAATAATTTTCAATTAAAATTTGTTAGCTGAAATATGATTGAACAATATGAATCACTTTGTTTGAACATATATGTGCAATATTTCATGGTATATGATATATATATATATATATATAAAGAAATCTACAAATATTATTTGGACCAGAAGTCAATATATTCTGGACAAGAAAGGAAACCTTTAATTTAAAATATATTCACTTAGCTTGAAATCACTGGAAGTTTCAAAGCAAAAAGTGTTTAAGGGAAACGACAGTATTTGTATTTTTTTAAAAACCACAAAACAAAATTCCTTTAGCCTAAATTAATCTCAGGATCCTGGACAAATGTCATAATGTCCCCACAGAGTGATGAAGGGCGAGCATGTGGCAACGAATAACCACTACAAAGTGAATTTTATAAACATTTGAAATAATTGTCCTTCACTGATTTAAATGGCCATCTTCCTGTTTTGGTTGCCCCCCCTTCCTTCCCTTAAATAAAAGATATTGTTGCCAAACTAGTGCATCGTAATCATTAGAATAACATTAACATCCCTTCTCTAGTGCAAAGAAAATAATTCAGTTTATCTAAGGATATACCAGTAATTTGCATGTAAGAATCATAAAATTTGTTTTTAAATATCTTATGCAAATATAAAAGCAACAAAGCAGTGATTTCATAACTGAAAGCTATTTGTCTCCTCATATTTTCCAACATATTTGATACATTTACAACCTGAGATATAGGCAGACTCACAGTTAATGCAAATAAAAATAACATATTTTTAATCAACACTGCAACTGCTGAGTTGATGCATTCAAATTTTTTAATGATATGGATAAACAATTTACTGTGCTACCTTAAATTTATTTTAGAATGTTTTGAAAATTGAAAAGCAATATGAACAATAAAAGTGAGTATACATTTATTTGGTGCAGGACAGACTTTACTATGATGTAATCTCACATTTTACACAAGTGGGATATTTAGGGGTTGAAAAAAATAGACTTTTGTCCTGCCTGGGACATTTATGAGGATCACTTTACAATCCAGATGTAACTGAAAGGAAAAGTCATAGGAAGTTGAACATGTTGAATTCAAAAAGCATTGTCTGAAAAGTCCCAAAGAAAATAACAATTAGCAAAATCAAAGGAGGATTTAAGGGATCTAACCCAGAAATAAGGAATTCTTTCTTCCATAAGACATATAGCAATAAACTATACAACAAAAACTCTCAAAACAAGAAATGCTCTTTTACAATGAAATAAAACTTATTAAAACTACCCTTATGGTATTATACGGGATATGAACAAAAGAACTCCGTTATTTAATTCCAGATACCTCATAAGACTCTTAGGCTCCTAATTCAGTTCTGATTGCAAACACATTTCCTAAAAAATCTGAGAATCCACGAGAAGATATAAGTCGATGTTTATCTCAGCATTTTAACTCAGGTAGACGTCTACAACCAAACACTTACTCCGAAAATGAAATTATTTGTAAGTCCAAGCCCAGTTTTTTTCTCACATGAAATTGTTCCATCGGAACAAAAACCCAAAGTTTTAAATACAGAAAACATTAAAGAAAAAAAAATTAACAATTAAGGAAAGCCCGAAAACCAGGAATACCCGGCCAGTTGCCACAATGAATTTAAAGAGCCAATCCTCATCAGCGTCTTTGATGGAAATAAAACCAAGCGCAGCAAGAAATGTCACCGTACCTGCACGCACTTTAAGTGACTACGACACACACGCTGCAAAATCTTCGCTCTCAGAAATACAGCAGACTTCATTTAGCTGCTGCAAAACGCTGCTGCAGACAAGCCCAGGATACATTTTTTGCAGGCAACTGAGCCAGCTTGCCACCAGCTCTGTGACCTTTGAACTCCCTTCTGCCCCCCTCCTCGGCTTCTGCAGTCAAAGCCTGGGAGCTGGTCTCATTTGCATAAGGCGCAGGCAAGGCTCCAGCAGCTGAAACGGAATGCTGGGTAAGGAATTGTGGAGCCGCAGTACTTGCTGCCAGGGCACCTGAATCCCGGAGAACAGGGATGCGCGGTGGGGAGTGGGCACCGGCTTGGCTGGCTGACATTCCCCCGCTCTATTAATGGATACATAATTTCAACGTTTGTTTCACAGGCCTGTCCTCACCGTTTACCCCAACCTCACCAAAAGAAGCTGTCTGCAGCGACTATGGTAACCAAGGAAACCCAAATAGTCAAATACTTCATTTAAATACGTGCGGAAGGCCAATTTAAAATTTTCATTAACTTCTCTTGTTTTGGAGACACAGCTTTTAAAAACCATTAAATATACATTATACACACAATCAGTCACATGGCTATTTCTTTTGTTGTGGTAATTTAAAGAGCGTCTTGCGGTCATAAATTTATATTAGGCACTATACGAAAACATGAAGTCACTATAGTAATTCTGTGAAATGTTAAATGTGCCCAAGTGCATTAGAGACCATCAGCCTAAATGGTGTCCAAAAATTAATGGCAAAGAATTTAGGTCCCAGGACACTTTTAAAACAATACAGCAGTAAAAATGTAGAGCAAAGTTAACCTATATATTTAAAGATACACATAGCAGTAATGCTTATTTGTCTTTGGCAAAGATATTTAGTGCTGTGCTGTCACTTCCTAGTTATTTCTTCCCTTGGCTTCCTATACATAGTAATCTATTTCGTACAGAAACTTCTACATTGCTCATAAACCTAAGTGGCTATTTTCTTGATAAAAAAGGTCATGTGTGTATGTATTTTTATAAATATACATGAAAGCATATATTACCCTCTTTTAAATGATGAACCAATAGAAATATGCATCATTACATAATTAGTCCTTTCCTGTTTTTAAAATTAAGCTAATGTATTTTATGCATATGTGAATTGATAATGTCCATGAAAGAAATGGTTTTATGTATTAATCATGTCCATTTGTCAACAGAAACATAAAATGAAAAATAAAAGCACATAAAAGTTAATCTAGATAAATATTAATATATCATAATTACATTTTAAATAGCTATCATTTCAATTATTTTCTTATTTTAAAATTTTTTATTTAAATAAATATTTTAAACCTGTTTGCACCATACTAAAAAAATCAATAAATTTTGAATGATTCATCTAATTTGTAAGACAAACTATTGCAATATAGAATTTCATAATGCTGGAAAAATATATATTTGAACCTTTTTGCTTGAGCTATTTATTAGTTGCATTCTGTTTTATATTATTTCTGCATATGCAGATTAGAAATTATTGGAAGAATTTTTTTCTTGCCCATTACATTTTTAAACAGAATAAATAACTTTTCAGCTTAATATAATGAAATCACAATTTCTCTGCTATACCTGACTACATCAAAAATCTGATCATGTTGGGTCAATTCAAGTGCATCTGTCATATTACACGCTATAGATATCTTGCAAAGTTTTTGTTTAAGGCAAAACACACACCAGCTCATGCTAATTTAAATTCAATCAAACACAAGGAAGTGTTGGAGGAATTTATAAAATCACCGACCTGTTCCAATAGCTGTAGTCTTAATCCTTGTACTCTTTATTCATTAGGATCCAAAATAAATTGATTATCATTTTATAATATGTGTCAGCATCACAGAAGGCACCATTCTTCCTGGTTCAGCGGAATCTTCTTAAATTTCCCAGCCCTGTGTTTTATTGCTGGTACCATATGCTTTATTGTTCAGCGACAAGAGCTTCACTCTGCACAAAGACTCATTACCTACTGCCTGCTGCACGGCATCAGCCTCACTGAGGCTGCCTATATGTGATCACATGGAGTTTTGTCTGAGAAAGCCAGGCGTGCCACTGACTTCACTGAGTTTCTGGATATTTTTATCAGCTGAGGTCTACTAGGAGGAAGAAATAACAGATTAGGGAGCTGCTCTGAGTCATTAATGTAGCACAAGTTATGGAAATCCCAGTACAGGATTTTTTATTATTATAGAAAGCAAGCATTCAAAAAAGTTGATTTTCTTTTTTCAGTAGGAGGCTGAAAAACAATTTAAGGAAAGGGAACTTGCAAAAAGCCATTTCCTACCTTATGGTTTCACAAAGTACAGTAGTATGAATGTTATTAAAGAACCTTGCTTTATACAGGACAATATGTTTTAACCTTTTGATTGCTGGCATTTTTTTCTTGTTTTTTTATTCTTTTTCATTTTTCTTAAAAGAATGAGTGCTGTTTCCCTCAAATCTTCCCAATTAAAATCTCAATCACTAAAACATGCTATGTATGAATAAAAAGAGATATACTAATTCCTTCTATAAGGCAGATGAAACTGACTTTCTTGTATGGATGTATATAAATGAGGTGGATGATTAATTTATTTTCTCAAAAGATGACACATACCTAGAACAGCTGCCTTAAAAGAACAATGAAGATTTCAAGCTAAAGATCTAAAGGACATATGGTTCATATTAATTCTTAAAATTGCAGTAACTTCTTTTAGACAGCTTCCCACAATAAAGCATATGGTTTACCTTATCTGATTGCAGTGTTAACAAGTAGTTGCAGAGAGAACTACTCAACATTTACAGAAATTTTCAGACGCATACATACCCCTGCGTAAGTATGTATGTATATGACGGGTCAGACCAACAACTTCCTAAAATATTTTCAAATTACCTAAATTACTTTTCTGAAATGGAAAATGGATTGTGAATTTCCAAATTAAAAAACAATGATTTAGTTATTGGAATTTAATGAAAACATCTATTTCTTGCTGCTTTAATAATCTGTCTGAATTGAATTGTTATTTAAAAGCTTGTTGCTTGTCTCATTGAGAATCTTAGGACAATACATGCTAAGTGCAACCAAGAGCACAGAAAGGAAAGTCAGAAGTACCATAAATAATTATCAGAAAATAAATTTTTCTCTATACTTAGACATACATTTTAATAGTGCTTGTGAATAATTCAGTAAACTTAAAAAGAACGTATATATATTACATGTATATGCATTATTAAAATATGCACATACAAACCTACTTAAGCCACCAATCAATAAGAAATTCTTTTCTGGAAAAACATTACAATGTAAACTTTTTATTGCCAACTGAAAACTTAAAAGAAAATTAATCATAAATAGGCAAATGTGCTTAAATAGTCCAGTGTTTAAATGCTGTTTCATAACATCTTCCGTTATGATATTATCTGGAGAGTTAGCATTGATCTAGAATGCTTCATAACTTATATAGCATGCTTGTCTTAACATTAAAACAAATACTTTAATATGTTTTAAATGTCACTATTTTAATGCATTTGTTCCAAAATGCTCATGTTCATTTTTTGCTCTGCACACAAGAGCTGTGATAAAGCTACAAAACATTTGGGCATGAAAAGAAAAATGAAAACAAAGTGTTGCTAACTTATATTTCACTTCTGGGTTCTTAAAGATATGTATATTGTAGTTAACATCCTTGATGATGTCATCATGCTAATGTACAAGGAAATAAACAAAAGGCAGCCATTTTTCTCTCACTGCATCACTTCAAAACAGGGAAAGAAAATGGTTGCCAAATGGAAGGAAAGAATCAGCAGAAAACCAAGTTACCTTCGAGTTCTGAGTAGGTGTTGGCAGTGAGGCGACAAAGGGTATGAGACTGACAAAATAACTACGTATGTGCAAATTTTGTGTACATGCATACAAATAAATAATAATAAAAAGAAAGATAAATAAATAAAATGAATGAAAAACAGCCAGCCATTAGGACAAACTACCAGTTAAACAATGAGTCTCCAATGGGAAGGCTATACCTACAAAATTAATGTATTAAATACATGAGTTTGTTACATTCACTAACATAAAAAATATTTAAAGGTAGACACAAGAGACAGAAATATCTGGAAAGTGTAGAATGAATCATGAGATAGTAATAATTTCTACAGGTATACTATCATTTTAAATGACCTTGGTGAGTTATTGCAGTCTCTGATTCCTCAGTCTTCAAGTCTGTAAACCAGAGACAGAAAGTTTACTGCGGGAAGATACAACAGTATTTTCTATTTCAGTACTCTAATTTGACAGTAAGAATTACCAATTAATATTACAAAATAAAAAGATATGATAAAAATTTTTTGTGATTGTTTAAAATAACGTAAATGAATTATCCTAATAGTACAGACAGCTATAGTAAACAGGACTTATGGAAGAAATTCTTTTCTAATACAAAGAAAAGAGAAATCCATTTAAGAAATAATTTGAATATCATAAAACTGCCTCAGGATTAAATCAAATTAAAAAATATGTTCATTCCTCTAATCAAAATTCTGGAACTCTCTGTTAGCTGCATGGCAAAAGAATTGCAGCAAACATTCTCACGTTATACAATGAACAATGGTCTCTGCTTATGTAGTGGTTTCATCAGCCAAGAATTCTTTAAGTGTGGAATTAACAGAGAAGCGCAAGATCATGGCTTAAACGAGTGAAGTCCATCCATGATTAAAAGGAAGTTTTCATTTACTGTTTTAAAAGTTGTGAAGTGGTAAAGATTTTCAACTTACTATGGACTCTTGTTAGCTTTGTTTATCTCTAAAAGAAAAATGGCGTCACAGAATCTTTTTTTTTTTTTTTTTTGGTTTTTCTCCAGTACCGGGAACCGAACTCACGACCTTGTGCTTGCCAGGCAGGCGCTTTTGCCGCTGAGCTAAATCCCCAGCCCCACAGAATCATTTTGTGTGCTCCCCTTTCCTATAAAACAGACAAAGCCTATCAAAAGTCGTCTGAAAATTTTGCTGGCCAGCTTCTGAAGAAATATAGGCACAGATTTATGCTAAATGGATGATCCCTTAAACATTCCATGGCATGAAGGAAGATATATTGACACCGCCACTTGGAGCCATATTAAGTGGCATTTATATCAGTACCTCCTGTTGGATTTCCCCTTGGTCAGGCTACATTTCATGTTCTTTTCTGGCACATTCAGGGAAGTCAATAATTTGACTATGTCAGCCTCAAAATCCTGGACTAATTCAATTCAATAAAATAATCATGTAAGTTACCATATACCAAGCTCTAAGATAATTGCTAGGGATATAAAGATGAAATACAAACTGTTCTCAAGAGGGCCAGAGCCTCTTTAACTTAAAAAAAAAAAAAAAAGTGCTGAATATGTTATATAGGAAAGTGGTTACACAAAGACTTTTTCTCAAGTTTGACTATTTTATCAACTGTATACCCACTTTATGTAAAATCAATATAATTACTTTTAAAAAAATTAGGTTTTCTTAAAATTAGAAATATTACTGTGATTAAAATCATTTATCAAATGCCCTATTGTAAATTATCCTGTTACTTTGGGATCTTATAATCTAGAAGAGATACTATTTCTCTCGTAATAAAATGTCTTATGTATTTGTGCTACCCCTCCACCAAAAGACAGATTTTGATTTCTTTCCTCTTTATTTGTGGCTGGCCTTAGTGATTTGCTTAATCAGTAGAGGATGCACAAGTGACCTTCTAGGACATTCCAAGGACATTCCAAAGTCCTAAGAAACATGTGGCTTCCACTTGAGCTTCTGGACAGTCTCTCCAGGATCACTGAGGTACTACATAAGAGGACAGGTTACCCTGAGCCTGCCCTGCTCCAGAAGCCATACATAGCCATTCCATGAGCAAGAGGATTTCTAATTGTACAATGGTACTTTGGGGAGTGCCCAGAACCAAGGGTAAGAACTTTAGGAACTGCAATGACAAGAATCTTCAGGAGATGAATGACAGGAGATTTAGCCATGTGTTAGGGAGATAAAGCAGAAAAAGTCTGGTGTTGTGTCTTTCAGTGCTATGAAGCTTGAGATGAGGAGAGATTTGCTATATGTAACGAATAAAGTTACCATGAAAGAGAAGAGGTGTGGTCAAAGCAATGAGTAAAGAAGACAATTTTAGCAGTAGGGGAGTAACTAGCCACACAGAAAGCTGGGGCGGCAGCAGAGTATATGATAAAGCGGGGATGGACAAAAGTGAGGAGAGCCTAAACTAAAGGAAATGAGGGGGAGAGGGAACAGAAATGAAATCAGCAGAGGGGAAGATGGAATATTTAGAATTGGTTGGATCAATTGGACTCTGATCTAATTTACCGTTTTAAGAGCCAGTGGTTCAATGATTGAAATACTAATTAGATCTAGAATTACTGAGAGGTAATTAATTTTGTTAGATGCAGTCATTTCACAGGTATTTTGATTTTGGTCTTAATTCGTGAACTTTCACACATTTGCAAGTATTGTGAATAATATTTGATATAAAATATTACTAATATGTGTGGCAGGCTGAAAGTGCCTTGGAAACAACAAAACAAAGGTATGTACATTTCTTCCTGTGTCTGGTTCCTAAGTTAGGAGAAAAAAACATAAGAAAAAAACATGTCCTAGTTATATAAAAATAAAAAAGCCAGATAGTTTTGGATGGTACAAACTAAAACTTAAAATATACCTACTCAAATACAAACAAACCCTACCACCATTACCAGTGAAAATAGACAACTCTACCAGACTTTTACCTCTTTGACTTTTCATCCTATTTGGATATTAGAATAACAAAACGGCAGATGTTAAGTTAGCATCCAAAGAATGGCTACTCAGAGAGAAGCAGGTTAAATGTTAGGAAAAGCGCTATCACTGTTGCTACTGTGTCTACAATATGTACATAAATCATTTGAACATGGCTGCAAAGAACTCTTCATGCAAAGTGACCCAGAAAAGAAA